TTTTGGGGTGTGTGTGTGTGTGTGTGTGTGTTTGTTGGCCCAGTGTGCTATGATGGTCGACGTCGTGCTCGTTGTCGCGGCGGTGTTGTTGTTGTTGCTGCTGTTGTTGTTGTTGTTGTTGATGCTGTTGTTGATGATGTTGTTGCAGGTGGTGATGTTGTTTGTGCTTTTGTGTCACTGCGCTACTAGCTGTACTAGCCGATCCGATACACTTGCAACTTGGATGTGCAGTGTGCAATATGTTAGGGGTTCGAAGCGGCATGGATGTGAATCCCCTGCTCCACTACTCATCACAAGTTCCTGCCTATGAGCTGCAGCAATATGCACGAGCAGCATTGCTTACGATGGGCGGCAATGTTCAACACATGTGGCCTTTGAATTCACAAGATTTCGCAGAAGGACAGCATCTTCCTGCGAACAGGCACGTGCATGCAGAGCTTGCACCAAGATACAACCATCACGTAGGATGTGAGACTCTCAGAGAGAAATGGACCCAATAGTGAGCCTATCTAGCCGGATCCATCCGTTTCAGGAATCCCTAGAAAAGACCGCGGTTTCGGCGTAGCGCTCCGGACAGAGCGTGGATGCCTGCCTCAGGCGTCACATGTCTAACAGATCCAGGCTACCAGAGACCCTTTAGGTTTGGGGTTTAGGGTTTCAGGAAGCCACATAAACAAGAAGCTGTATAGACCCCATGAAACACGAGACCACCAGCCCTATGCCCCGATTTAGTGCTAAGCCCACAACCCAAACCCTAAGGGTCCAAGTACTAATATGGTAGCCACCTAGTAGATATTTGGGCCCCAAAGGTACCCATAGGCCCTAAAGTAGTTCCTTTTGGGGGTTCATATATAGAACCCTATGGGTAACTCAAGAAGGAACTGCTATGCGGCCTATGGGTATAGACTATACACTATTACTTGGATCCTTTGGGTAAGGTCGAAACTTCTCCCTTTCTCTTCAGGGACCAACCCAAGAGGCCGAAAACCCTTTACTGCAAACCAGGGTCTCTTCTTGCAAGCTTTATACTGAACTTCATAAGACGCTTACAAACTGTAGATTCATAGGAAGCCCTAACCTTAGAGAATGAAATCCAGCCTGATATGTCATGTCCGAGAGGTTTGAAGCATACTAGCTCTCTGTAGTCCGGTACCACAGGGGCCTTCCGTTGTGACTCTTATGGCTGAGGGCTCAAGTAGGTGCTTGCTGCCTTAATGGATAGAAAAAACGTAACGTAAATATACCGTATTTACAGCCTAAGGTTCAAGGCCCAAACCCTAAACCGTCAAGCTTTGGTTGAGCTTCTGATTGCTTAGGAGTTGGGGTATTTTATTGCCAATGCTATTGCCTAGCCTTAATACTACTGCATATTGATGCTCTAATATACCACCAAACCTTCTCGTCATTAGGCCGCCTATACTGTTCAACCCATGTGCACCGAAAACGCGGCAGCAAGAACTTTTTCAGCAGGGGCCGCATGTCATAATTAGGACAGGGCTCCTTATTAGGAATACTGTGGCGTAGGAATTGCTGGATTTGAATAGCCTCCAGATTATGCAGGTTTGGACCCTCCGTAGTCGTAGTCGTACTCCAGTGTTTACAGTGTTACAGGGCGCCTATGTAATGCAACATGGCACCGACACCCTGAAGCCCTAGAGTGAACCCCCAAAAGTTGGAACCCGATTAAGGACAAATAGTGCCGGGATTCCCTATACATTACTCTTAAGGATTGAGGCTATTAGGTTTCCAACCTTTGGGCACCTACTACAAACCTTGAACCCCATGAGTGTAGGGAGCATGTCTTCGGTTGTATCTGGTGTCTGACCTGCTGCTACAGGAACCCTGTAGCACCTCTTCCGGCCTTTGTGCCAAGATTTAGGCCGCAGAAAGATCTTGTGGCTGCCGTGGCTACGACTCTTGACTTGTCAAAGATAAGATGCTGCGGACCCTCGAAACTACCGCTGGTCATGAGGCAGCAAGTCCTAAACCATAAACCCTCATCCCTAATCCCATACCGCGAAAACCCTATGTGAACCCAGAACCTTTAAATCTTAATCCTTGACGGTCTCGACTGCATATGGGCTTAGGGTTGGATTTCAGGGTTTGGTTGTGTTTGGGAGGTTTGGGTTTCTGTTTGGGTTTAGGATCGTCGGGAGCGTAGGGTTTCCCCTAAACCCTCAACCCTCCCCTAGCCTCATGTGCGACCTAAGCCTTACGGCTTGGTGGAAGCTGCCTCGTCCGACCGCAAGGTATTCTAGCAGACATTCTGAACAAGAGTGTGCTGCAAAGAAAGGGAGATCAAGTCTTGCCCAAAGAGTCCCCACCAGAATGTGGAAGTCTGAACCAGTAGTTAGTTTTCTGATATACTACTCCTTGGGCTTTTGAATCATCCCTCCCCCCTAACATTAAACGATCCCCAGGTGAGTAAAAACTCGAAACGTGTTTTCTTTGTATTTCTTAGTGTTTTTTTTTTTATATCTTCTGTGACATTTGGGAGGATCTTGCTCCTCCTCTGGCTCGTGTTCCTGCTCCAGCTTTTGCTGCGGCTCTTGCTCAGCTCCTGCTGCGGCTCCTGCTCCTGATCTTGCTCTTGCTGTTGGTTGATTGGGTTGATTGGTTTTAGGGTCTATTGAGTTTAGGGCTTAGGGTTTATTGAGTTTAGGTTTTAGGGTTTAGGGTTTATTTGCTTCTGCTTTTGCTCTTTCTCTTGCTTTTGCTCCTACTCTTGTTCCTGGCTTTGCTGCTTCTCTTCCTCCTGCTCTTGCTCTTACATCCCCCTGCTTCAAAACAGCTTTTTCTGGTGGATTTCCGGGAAAGCGCGTGTCACCATTATGGGTGTGTTTAATACAGTAAAAGGGGGAAGCCATTATACCGACTGTATAGTCTGCACAACTAGCGTATAATACTATCTCCTAAGGTTCTTCACCATACTCCAGTATAATCTACCCCAAACGCTATTGTAATTATTCAGGCCCCCAAATTGATTAAAGACCTTGCCCCAAGTGTAGGAGCCTGCAAATGTAAAGCAGTTGTTCTTGTCCCCTCCATTCCGCTGCGCCGGAACCGGCGCACTTGGCAGTGCTATCCGTTCTGTCATAGAACCTCACAGGGGTAAACTATGGGATATCAGGGTTTAGGGTATTCTTTGGGGTTAACCCTAAACCCTAAACCTGAACGGTATCTGTTAAGTGCATCTGATAGCGAGGTCGGAATACTCAGCATGAAATAACTACTGTATTTTCTTGTCGTCCCCGTATTCGTATAACTTCATACAGAAGAGCCCAAAACGGTCCTTACATGAGCCTATGTGGGAACCGTGGACCGTGCATTGATTCTAGGAGTAGTTAGGCCGCAATTGAGGCCTCTTCATCATCCATTCTTCGTGGACTCTAAACCCTAAACCCTAAGCCTAAACCCTAAACCCTAAACCCTAAATAAACCCTTCATCATCCATTCTTCGTGGACTCTATCTGGGCATCCCCGGGCTTCGAGCGCGCAGGCTGTTGTGCACGTTTTCCAAAGCGGCTGCCGTGCACGTCAATGCCAAGTCTAGGTTTGTTGTAGGTTAGGGGCTTGATGTGTGGCTTTAGAGGTTCAGGCTTCATAGTTCACAGATAGGTCCTTGAGATATTATAGGGTTCAGAGAGAAGTTTGTGGCTTGGACGACGCGGTTGCCCCTTTGAACGCGGGGGAGGCGCGAAAGACCAGTGCAGACACGACCCTAAACCCTTAACCCTTAACCCTAAACCCTAAAACCCTAAACCCTAAACCCTAAACCCTAAACCCTAAAACCCTAAACCCTAAAGCCCTATAAACCCTACTAAACCGCAGCCCCAAGATCCCCCGAAAGCCATCCGGCCCGGAGAGGCCAGAAGCCGAGACCCCATGCAACAAACACTCCCCTAAGCCCTTAATATAGGGGCCTTTGGGTCTAAGGGTCCGTCTTTAGGGTTTAGGGTTTAGGGTTTAGGGTTTAGGGTTTAGGGTTTAGGGTTTAGGCTTTGGGGTCTGCTGCAGGGGCCTAAATAATTACCAAGACTATTTTGGGGGGTTCCCTCTTATAATTATACCATAATGGGCCCCAAAACCCTGTTCTAATTATTAAGGGCCCTATATTATAGCACCTTATCGCCTAAGTCCCTGAATCCCTGAAGCCCCAAGCCCTAGACGTTTCAACTCCTAGACCCCCTGAACCTTCCCTTGGAGACCTTCCAGTTTAGGATTTGGGGTACTGGAGTTTGGGGGCTTATCCATAGGCCCTAAAGTAGTTCGTTTTGGGGGTTCATATATAGAACCCCAAAAAGGAACTACTTTAGGGCCTATGGGTAGGGATTAGGGTACTGGGGTTCAGAATTTTCCGTTTGTAGCTTAGTCTCTGAAGGGCTTCGGGGTAGACCCTAAGGCCTAAACCCTAAACCCCTAAGCCCTACTGCAAAAAAACCCTAAAGCCCTAAACCCTTATAAAGTTCCGGGGGCAGTAGGAGAGCTAAGCAGCTAGGTTTTGCCGGATGGGAAGACGGTGGAGCAGGCACCGATCCTTTTGCAACGGGGAGGGGGGGGAGGGACAGGAAAGGGAGGAGGGGGTCGAGAGAGGGGGAAGGTAATGCAGAGTTGTTGTTTTTGCTAAGGTTGGAAAAGGCAGTTGTAGGGCTAGTTTGTTTTTGATTTGGCTTTGGTGGTTTGAGTGTTGACAGTTTTTTTGCCGGTTTGTTGCAGGTATTTGTATTGATGTATAGAGGAAATGCCTTTATTTCAGGATATGTGGTTGGGTGCCGTAAGGTTTTAGAGGGCTGTGGGAGGTTCTTACGTGTGTTAATAGGGAGCTTCATCATCAGGAACAGGCAATTCCAATGTTTTCCGGCACATGTGCATCTGCATGTGCATGTAGTTCTACATGATCATGCATGTAGATGTGCGAGAGCGTGCATACTTTTGCACGCGTAAGGACATCCAAACTTGGAGAGGTACAGCAGATATGCATGAATACGCTTGCGAGCGACGCATATGAGATTTTTATTCCTAGCTATGAACTCACCAGCGACTATCTTGAAGACATGCCTGCAGATACTGCATGCATTCACATGTTTATGTTTTTACAACTAGTTGAATCAATTTCGTCAACGTAGATCAAGACAGCGAGCCGGATACCTAGGTCTGTATGTAGGTGTGCATATGGGTGGTTGTCAAAATCAGGGTCCCGTTTTGGGTACCGTAAATATTAGGTGCCGTATTATATTGCGGACCCAAAAAGGGACCCATAATTTTGACAACCACCCATATAAATGCCTGTGCATAAAGAGACATGTAAGCTTCGATTTCTTTGTACACACGCGCAGCCATGTGGCGTCTGATTCTGATCAGGGTCGCAGAGCTATTGCAAACATTACTATCATTACCATTACTAATATCATTAGTTTTACTACTATTGTATTGTTACTACAACAACAACTACAACTACAACTACCACTACCAC